AGTAGTTAAAAATCAAAATTAATAGTATTTAATTTTTTTATGTAATTTAATAGTTAAAAAGTGTATTAATTACACTCTTAATTGTTTTCTTAAGGAATATATTCAAAGCTTTTTCTAACTAACCTTTTTATCATAAAAAAGGTTTTTGACAGCTAACAATTAACTAACAGTCAACTAACAGAATTAATAAAATGTTACAAAATGAGAGCTATTTTCTTCAATTTTAATAAGTGAGGGACTAAAATTATCATAATATAAGATGAGGGGTTAAAACCTTTAAACTTGACAAGATGAAAGCCTAAAAGTAGGCTTTTGCCTTCCAAAGGCACTAAATGTCGTCCTTGTACTCCCCTTATTTTTGTTTATTATCATACTTTTATTGACGGTGTTGTTTTAGCCGTCTATTTGGACCGTTTAACCCACTAACAATCAACTGTTGAAGAATTTTATTTTTCCAAGTGTGTTGCCAGTTAGGGGGAGAGAACCAAGGGGGTTGGGTACCGATAGTGGACACGCATGTTGCTATTTTCAAACAAGATTTTGCTTAATCCAAGAGAAAAGATGTTCTAAGTGTTGTGCCTTGTGTTTGAATTGCAATAAGTCATAGATATAAAAATATTTTAGAATTTTTTAATTTTTCATGTTAAAGGTTATTTATTATATATTTTTATTATTAATTTATATAAAAAATAAAAATTAACTTTAATTATATTAATTGTATAGTTAAATCGTTTAACATGACATTAATGTTACGAATAAAATTTGTTTTCATAATTTTTTATATAAATTAATAGAGAAAATGTGTAATAGATGCACTCTTGAAATACAGATAAATATTTTTAAATTAAATTTGTGATGTTAGGTGGTTATTGAAATACGTTATTTTCAAACTTTGTCTTAAAGTATAATTAATACATCTTTTAGTCACTTAATATGAAGAATAAAAATGCTAATATTAACACTAATGTTATATGTATTAATTTAATTGATTAGTAGTTAAAAATCAAAATTAATAGTATTTAATTTTTTTTATGTAATTTAATAGTTAAAAAGTGTATTAATTACACTCTTAATTGTTTTCTTAAGGCATATATTCAAAGGTTTTCTAACTAACCTTCTTATCATAAATATATATAGAAAAATTTAAAAATTGATATTAATTTTAATATTAGTGTCAAGTGGATAAATTTAATTAGATGTTTGATAAATTTGTTGGGGGAAGAATTTGTATGGTGGTAAAACCAATGACGTGTGCGAATCTACATCAGCAAGGGCCCACAACGCTCATTTCCTACATCGGACGTGCAGTTTTCATTTTTCTACTAATTGTTGTGATGGAATTAGCATCACCAGAAACGACACTCATGCACTTCGTTGGAGACATCGCAGAATGCAACTTACTTCAACATTTATTTTCACATACATGGCCAGACATGGCTAGATCTATTTTGGTGACATGGCTTGGCATTTCTTGATGGTCATGTTCTCTGCAGCAATGTGCATTGTTGTATCTTGCGGCTCCTAACAATGGATAAAGAGCCTGCTTTACTACATGGCTCCCATCAAAGGACAACAATCCGATCTACATAGCTCCCAGCAATGGACAAAGGGCTAGATTTGCTATCTCATTTAGCCTCCAGCAATGGACAAAAGGCTATACATTTCTACATATCTTCATTTCACCAGCTCTGGGCAGCGGACAAAGGGTCGAATCTCTACATATTCTATCTCACTAGCTCTCGAAACAGACAAAGAGTCAACGCAACTCGATACGATAAGCGTGAGGCCAGTAACAGTTGCAACCTTGCAATCGGATGGGATGAATAAGTTCCAGCGATAAAAATCCAACAAGTAGCGACCGACAGTCCCTTAGTGGTTGCCCATGCATGGTGGTGTGGTGTTCGACGAGCAACAACAACCAAAACCACCCTCTGATGATGCGGGTACGGCAAGAAGGGCCAACATTTGTTAGTGGTATCCAACATTGTTGTATCAGAGGCCATGGATGCGGTTGGCATCCCTCTTTCATGGTGACAACTCCACCCTTCGCTATATATATTCATCACTATGGCGGAGTCCGGTTTAATGAGATTTACCCCTTCGTGACTTGGCAGATTAGTGGGAGCACTATTTCGATTCCACATAATTCACGCTCCAGCCATGGGCAAAGCTAGCCATTGTTGTCCCTCTAGCCATGGGGAAACTATTCATAGCTGACCCCACAATACATCCATAACATGGCAGGAGGCCATGCACATTGTCACTCTTCTACACAAAGGGACAAAATTACTGATCGTTGGTAATCTCGACTCATAACACATATTTTCTATATCTTATGTGTCAGCAGGTATCGTCAGCCAACGAAGCTTGGCTCAAGACAACGATATTGCAGTATACACCCATACTACTTATTCCCCATTCCAGTGCAACGCTAGGCATGTACAACAGCAATATACTGATGTCGGCCACGGCCAGCAAGCAAATGAGAACAGCAAATATTCATCCACATAGTCCCCTTCAACACACGAGGGAGTTTCCTTCTTCACTACATATGTTTATATATTTCTTATTCTTAAATATCTGAACATATACTCACATGTGCCTTGCTGTTACTGTAGATAAACACCAGCCCATGAATCCAAGCTCATGGGGATTATTTGGGATAAACTATGGAAGTAGTGGTTTAACAAGCATGGCAGGATGAGCACTGCCCGTCTGGCGAAGTGAGGCACCCGCGCCAACGAAGCTTGGCGTTGGCGATGTTGCCCGACTTCCCCAGAAAGGGGCTGGGCGATGAAGATATGGAAATGAACTTGATTCCCAGAACAGTGCCGTTTGATGCTAACCGAAGACTGGAAATCTGGCCAGAAACTAATCCGAGATGCTGTCTTGATCACCATCTGCAACTTGCAGCCATATTTAATGCAAAGGTGGTTACACAAGTTCCATGGCCTTGGAAACTGTTGTAAAAGATTACCATTTGCTTGCAAAATCTTCCAAAATCTTGCACAGAGCCTAGGGAACTTACCAAATCCTGTGCAAATGTTGTTTTTGCTGGCTGCACTCAAGCACCTCTCTAAAGATGGGATTTTGTATGGCTGGGGACATTGCCAGAAATATACAATTTCCAGTTTTTCGTCAAAACCAGCAAAACTTCGTTGGAACCATTGGGTAATTCATGATGCCACTATCATAGAGTTGTCAGTAGTGCTTGGAATCACCGAAACTTCGACAGCTCATCCCAACCTGTCTGCACACCTCTAGGCCATCAACCAAAAATTATAATGATACCACTGCATATATATATATAAATTATCTGCCCTTCATTTTATCAAAACAAAGAACATAGAGACGCATACAACACAAAAAACAGACTGACGCACCTAACTTCAACCCTTCTCCCTCACTCGCTAAAACTCCCACTTTTCCTCTAAAAATATTTCATCTTCAACCTACTGCCCTGCCCGCTGAAATCATCTAGAAGTCGCCATTCTCTTGGATTTCCTATGCATCCAGCCTTGCCAAACATTTCCCAGTACTGTAGAATATCACCCAGTATCGTAGAGCATTTCCATATTTGTAGGATATTATGGCTGGGAAACAACATGCTGCAATTTCAGCTTTCAGATAGTTTTTTTTTAGCATCAGACGATCAAGGTTGTAAAGTTAGCATAAAAAAACGGGGATCAAGTGCTCCAATCATAAGCTCTAAAGCGGTCATCCTTCCTTCTCCCATCACCACTCTCAAGTTTATCCTTTTGTCTTTGGAAGAGTTTCAAGAACGGAGTTATTGCACTTTTTGTTTTCAATATGAGGATTATTCGTTATAAAGTAAAGATATACACTAGAGATGAAAGATGTCACATTTATTGTCATTATTATTGTTGACATACCAAAATCGATGGAGTCGCCATCTATCCAAATGAGGTGGGATAGATCACCAAGGTCTACGTAGAAATTGATTAGGTTCAGAGGGCCGGTTAAGCATGGGGAAGGTGTTAGGCACCCCATAACTTCCATATAATATGGTTACCACATACTTTAATTTTGGAGAATTTTCAATTTTTATCAAATAATAATAATTACCAAATAAATCAAAAAGAAAATCACTTCAACAAAAAAAAATCCCTCAATCATTTTTTATTCTCCGTCTCTTGTCTTTTCTTTTCTTTTTTTGTTTTTTCTTTCTCTTCTTCCTTTTTTCGTTTCTGCTT